AGGAGCCCGATTTTCGCCGGCTTGGGCCGAAAACAGCGCCGGCGGACCCAGCCCGAACTCGGCGCGCTGGGGGGCGCCGGGGCAAGCTGTTTTGGCGCGAAAAAGACGCGGGCCAGCCGCGTCAGCGACTCGGCGCCTCGTTCCCCCAACGGCCTCGGTTTCCCGCGGAGAATCAATGGCAAGGCTGACCGGCAGCCTTGCCATTGATTCCTCACGGGCGGCACTTCACGGGGCGGCGCGCCGACGCCTCCCTTCCCGCGCATGCGTACACACGGGCGCGGCCCGGCTATAAAAGCCAGCGGCCTCCACTCGCCTGTGCCCAGACCAGTCCCCCCTCGCCGCCGTCCAACCCCTCCCTCTCCCTGCCTCTCCGGAGCGCCGCCCTCCGGCCCCTCCCTCTACCTCTCCCGAGCCCGCCCCGCCCCGCCGTTGCCATGGCAGAACGCTTCCCCGGAGACGAGGCGGCGGCCAACGGCTTCGGCCGCCGTTCGCTCCGCGAACAGGAGTCCTGGCTCCTGTTCCAGGCGAACATCCCGGCGCCGCCGGACATGCGCGCCGGGCCATCGGGGTGGAGGCTCAGCGCCGGGGGAGTACCCATTCCCCGTTGCCCGACGCCGTGGCGAAGCCGAAGTACTTCACCGAGGAGGTCGAGATCGTGCGCGCGTCCCTCACCGATGCCCAACTCTCCCTCCCCCAGTACGCCGCCGACAACCACGCGGCCTGGGCGGCGTATTTCGAGCGCCGCCAGCAGCAGCGATTGGCGTCCACCAACGGCGCTGGTTGTCGGCGGGCGGCAGAACAGCGAGGGGCGCCACCTCTGGTGGGGCGTCCCCGGCCGCACACTCGAGGGCGTGCTCACGTACCTCGAGGGCGGCAACGACCCGCCGTTGGCGTACCCCCCGGCGCAGCACCGACGCGTCGGGCCATGGGCGCCAAGGAGGTTCGGCTCCTCCTCCTCCTCTTCTTCCTCCCGGTCCTCGTTGCACTCCTCCGGTACTCCGGCCCTGCTCGGCGTCAAGGCCGAGCCCCCGGCGGAGTCGCCGCTCGGCCGGCGCACTCGCAGCGCCGGCATCGTCATCAACGAGGGCGGCCGGCGCGCCTCGTCCTCGTCGGCTCCTCCGCGCTTTGTCAAGCCAAAGACGGAGCCGGGGCTGGCGCCGGTGAAGACGGAGCCGGGGCTTGCGCCGGTGAAGGCGGAGTTCGACGACGACGACGCGGCCCTAGAATGGGCGCGCCAGGACTCCTTGCGATGGAGAAGGCGCGCCGGGAGAAGGTGAAGGAGCGCCAGCGCGCCGCCCTGCGCCGCTTCGAAGAGCGCCGACGCGGCCGCGATGAAGACGGGGTCGTCGTCCTACGCGACAGCGACGACGACGACGACGACGATGACGCGCCGCCGCCAGTCCGCCATGGCGACGCCGGGTTCAGCAGGGGCGCCCGCGTCAAGGAGGAGAAGGCCGACGACGACGACGATGGCGGCGAGGACTTCAGCGCCTTTCTTTTTTAGATTAGGTTAATGTCATGAAAATGGCGAATTTCGCCGAAATTTGCCATGTTTAGACGAAATTTACCATGTTTGACCGAAATTTAACTAGTTTTTATCATAACTTCGTCGAACGTCTCATCTTTTTTTTTAATACGCGCCTAGGGACGGCCCTGGGGCCGACGGCTGGGGGCCGACTCGCCCAGGGCCATTTTTTGCGCCGGCTCACCCCCAGGCGGCGCTTTTTGACGCCCCCTGGGGGGCCAACGGCTGGAGATGCCCTAACCTAGATCGACTCGAAATGAAAAAAGGCAAATCAATCGACCATTTTCGGGCGCTTTCTTGCTTGACGGGCCCTAGCTAATGGCTGGAATTAACAGGGCCGCAGCGACAGGATAACGCGGGTTCACGTGGCGGCCATGTTTTCCGCCCGAACGCGATGGTGGTGGTGGCGGGTGGCCGGTTCTTGCAAGCCAAGCAATTGCATGCTCATCGGCGGTGCATGGCATACAGCCCCATGCGCGCTTGCTTGGCTCGCAAGTCCATTGCTTGCTGCCACAAGGCAGCTAGCTGTAGCGTCTGCGATTTGCTCTAGCGAGTGGCGAGTCACCGGGAGTCAGGCGATGCTAGCTGCTCGTGGTTAGTTTTTGTCAATCGTCCAAGGAAAGCCATTGCTTTGCTTCCTCAGCGCGACGTGTACACGGGTGAGGCATGTGGAGGCAAAATGAATTGTAAAAATTCTCGAAGATCAATTGACGGTTAAAGAAGTCAAATGACATGCTTAATGTGAGAATCTTTCCAACAACGACGCTTTGGCCGAGTGGTTAAGGCGTGTGCCTGCTAAGTACATGGGCTCTGCCCGCGAGAGTTCGAATCTCTCAGGCGTCGATAATTTTTTTTTATTTTGCTAAATTTTGGAGAGTAGGTATACCAGACCTATTTCTATAGCACAATATGCATCGACATGGATCTATCTATTATCCCAGAAAGAAAAGAAAAACTGTTGCATATGGTGGATGCTGCCACATTTTTTAATGTAACGGAAGAAGAAATTTTGCCAAAATTGCTTTTGGAGGCCGAGATCCATGGAGGCCTCCTTTTGCAAAATTCAAAATTCATCAAAATTTATATTTTTATACTCTAAAAAGTTCTGAAAAAATACAGATATACACAGAGGTATAGTGTACATGTGTCTAAATTTTTAGGACAAACTACGTTGAAATGAGGGTTGTGCAAAAAAAAATAGGGCCTTTCAACACATGATAGTACTATTCACCTCAAACTCCACAAATTTGTCTTTTTTGTGCATATCACATTTCAAGGTATTTTCATCCTGAATTTTTACATGAATATACATTTCATCCTTGTATAGTTGCATATTTGTTTCAGATTTTTTTTTTGAAATCAGAAAGTTTGAATTTTGATTATTATTTTTCAAAAACAAAAGGGCTCCATGGAGCCCGGCCACCAAAACACCCTGCTTCTTAATTTTGTTGCATTATGCTCACTTGCAAAATCCAAGATCGTTGAGACCCATGCCACAACTACAACCGCGACCGAACAAGTGTGCATGCTCAAGGCCGCGATGGCGGCTCCCGTCATTGAGCCGGGTGGGAGAGGTACAGAAAGGCCGCAAGGCAACCGTCACCGCCATCAGAGATATCTTCCTTCTCCTCCTCCCACGATGGCGACAACCATGAGCCATCATATGTCGTCCCATTGCATTCCTATATATATGTGTAGTTATCATAACCTATCTATATTTGTGTCGCATAGGAATCTATCTATGTCTAGGCATATGTAGTGTGTCGCATCTAGACCTTATCTATGCTATATTCGAATTTGAAGTTGGAAGTCTGAAAATTGTGCATTTCAAATGTTGTTACATTGTGTGACATCGAAATATATAAGTTGCCGCATATTCATGTGAAATTGGAGCAATGGAGTCATATACACACAAATTACAGATAAATATGAAGAGGGAGTCTTACATAACAAATTAAAGAGAAATATGAAGAGGAGGTCATATATATACAAATTAAAAAGAAATACGAAGAGGGGGTCACATATATACAAATTAAAGAGAAATATGAAGAGGAAGTCGTATATATACACAAATTGAAGAGAAATATGAAAAGGTAGGGGGTATATGAAGGCTTTACACGTTAGATTTGGAGTTGATAAATATTTTTAAAGAGCCCCTTTGAAGCCTAGGCTCAGTTTTTCCGGCATTCTACAAAAGTTGCTCCTAGACTTATTTTTACTGATTTTTTGTTTAAATGTTGCCTCATAGCTAAGATGAGTGAGAGAAAAAAATATATAGCTACATGTGTGTTGCACATGCATATTTACTACTCCCTCCATTCACAAATATAAGATGTGCTAACTTTTTGTAAAATTGAATGTATCTAGACACGTTTTAGTGTGTTTGTTTACTCATTTCAATCTGTATATAGTCCATATTGGAATATTCAAAAACATCTTATATTTGTGAATGGAGGGAGTAGTTATTATATATAAATCCTCATGGGATCTTGTGTCATGGACCATGCATGTCTATCAATTCTGTCAATGTGAGTGACCAGTACATAAGTTAGCGGCTCTATAGTTCACATTGTGAATTTTTCATTACAAAAACTTTTCAAACTATCTGGAAGAAAAATGTTATGGAGTACAAGATGGCAAGGTTCAATATATTAGGCACAGTGACGTGATTGATGATGGCACTGACTCTGCTTTTGGGGAAATAACATCAAACATCAAACGAAATGGGCTAGGCCTTTGTCGTATTATTGGGCTCAGACCAAAACGGGTACATGGAGCCATTGTTTCACAAAATGGTTCCCTCTATCG